TCCCTTCCTTCCCCTCCCTTTCTCTCTCCCCCAGCTCCTGTCTGCCTTGGCCCTCCTGCCTCTCACATCCACCCTCCTGCTCTCTCCCTGCACGGTGTGGGGAGGGGCCCGGGGGCCTGGCGCACCGCCTTCCTGAGCCTGGGTGTCACTGGGGTTGGGATTAGAACCCAGCTTCCACATCACCTGGAGCTGCCAGCTGGAAGGGGCGGGAGAGCTGATGGCCGGCTCGGAGAAGAGGGGAGACGGCTTGGGGTGGGGTTTGTGCCCCGGAGCCCGCCCAAACCTGTCCCCGGCTCCCCTTCTCCACAGAACCAGCCGTGACACCCCATTACTTACATGCCAGCAGCGTGAGGAAGCGCTGGTGGGGATTACTGGGAGCCCCACCCCGTGGCTTCCTGGTCCCCTTCCCTCAACCAGGAAACGGAATGGGCCGGGAGGAAGAGAGTTAAAAGCTGTGCCCGCCGCCAGTCCAGGGCAGAGGGACAGGCGGGCGGGCAGGCGGAGGGGAGGCATGCCAGGTGGCTGAGAAGCCAGGTGGACAGGGGAGCACTGACTGGCCGCAGGTGACAACACAGGCAGGTAGGCTGACAGAAATAACAGACACGGGCAGGCTGGACTGGCCACGGGCACATGGAGCACCCAGCAGGCAGAGAGACAAGGTGAGGGGGGACAGCGGGAGGCGGGGAGAGAGGGGAAGGTGGCATTCCTGATGTTGGAAGGATGAGGGAGGAGGAAGAGAGAGAGGGAGGGGGGGAAGAAGGAAGGGAGAGAGGGGGGTAGGGAATGGGGAGAGAGAGAGAGAAGGAGGGAGAGGGGAGAGAAGGAGGGATTGAGGGAGGGCGAGAGAGGGGTAGGGAGGGAGGACAAGGACAGAGCCATTTCTGAGAATCCCCCACCTTTTCCAGAACCTGGAGGTGGCCAGCCATGGGACCCAGCATCCTTGTGCTCCTGTGTGTTATTGGTGAGTTCCCCAGGAGGAAGAAGAGTCCCTCCCTCCCTCAAGAGGGGACTCCCATCTCTCCTTCTCAGCTCTGGCCTCCATTCACCTCCAGCTCCCATCCCTGGGCCCTCTCACCCTGCTCGCATCTTTTCATCCATCTCCCCTCTGTCTCTTCCTGCACACAGTCTCAGTTCTCTATCATCTATCTATCTATCTATCTATCTATCTATGAATCATCTATCTGTCTATCATCTATCATCTATCACATATCTATCATCTATCATCTGTCTATCTATCATCTATCATCTGTTTATCTATGAATCATCTGTCTACCATCTATTTATCTATGAATCATCTATCTGTCTATCATCTATCTATCATCTGTCTAGCTAGCTATCATTAATCTACCTATCATCTATTTATCATCTATTTATCTATCACCTATCTATCTATTTATCTATCTATCTATCTATCTATCTATCTATCTATCTATCTATCATCTATGAATCATCTGTCTATCATCTATCTATCTACCTATCATCTATCTATCATCTATCAGCACCTCTCTCTGTTTCCCTCTTCCTCTCTGTATCCCTTGGGGGTAGCACTGTCTTTTGCTCTCCATCCTGAGATGTCTCCCTGTGCCTGGCTCAGTCTTCCTCTCGCCTCCTTCTCTCTCTCTCTGTGTCTCTCCCTTCCTGTCTCTGACCCACAGCCTGTGCGGGTCTCTGACACCCTCTCTCTGGCCCGTACCCCCGTCCTCAGGGCTCGGCCACGGGGCCTCGGAGAAGATTTATAACGGCACGGAGTGCGACCCTCACTCGCAGCCCTGGCAGGTGGGGCTGTTTGAAGGTGCCAACCTGCGCTGTGGGGGCGTCCTCATTGACCGGAGGTGGGTCCTCACGGCTGCCCACTGCAGCGGCAGGTAAGCCCCCTCCCCCAGTCTGGCTCCCTTCTGGAGAGGACCGAGGAGGGCGATGGGGAGAGGGTGTCAGGGAGAAAGGAGATGGTCCTGCCGCAAGAGACTCTGAGGTTAGACAAGGAGTAGGACTTTTTATTTTTAAAAGATATATTTTTGTGGATGTCAGAGAGGAAGGGAGAGGAGAGAGAGAGAGAGAGAGAGAGAGAGAGAGAGAGAGAGAGAGAAACATCAATGATGAGAGGGAATCCTTGATTGGCTGTCTCCTGCACATCCCTCACTGGGGAATGTGCCCTCAACCCGGGCATGTGCCCTTGACCGGAATCGAACCTGGGACCCTTCAATCCACAAGCCGACGCTCTAGCCGCTGAGCCAAACCAGTTAGGGCGGGCGTAGGATTTTTTTAAACAATGGGCCTGGGTGGGGCTAGCTGGGGTGCAGGGGGAGGGGGTGGGAGGCCAAGGAGGGGCCTGGAACCTGCCCACCCACCACTAGTTCCTTCGGTCCTTCGAGCCCCGTCCCTTCCTAGATGGCCTGTCACCAGCCCCAGCCACGCCCTGGCTCTGGCCGGGTCCTGGGCCCACATCTGACCCCAACTCTTTGGGAGCCTCAGGGATCCCTCTGTAAAAGGACAGGATCGGGCTTCCTGGGTCTGACCCTCCACGTTTGAAGTGAAAGGGAAGCATCAGACGCGCCGAAACGGCGAGATGTGGGGCCACGGGGAGAGGCATGAGCAGGACAGAGTGCAGCCACATGGTGGACAGCATGGACAGACCAGGCAGCCTCCTAGGAGGTGGGGCCAGAGCCAGGGAGAAGTCTGACAGCTGTCCCTTCCCCTGTGGGCCTCCCCAGCTATCAGAAACTTCAAAAGAACCGGTGGCCCAGAAAGAAACTCACTACAGACTGATTCCTATGCTTTTCCGCATAACCATTATTGCTTGTCTCATTTTTTTATTCTTCTTTTTAAAAAATATATTTTATTGATATTTTTTTTACAGAGAGGAAAAGAGAGAGGGATAGAGAGTTAGAAACATCAATGAGAGAGACACAATGATCAGCTGCCTCCTGCAAACCTCCCACTGGGGTGTGCCCACAACCAAGGTACATGCTCCTAACAGGAATTGAACCCGGGACCCTTCAGTCCGCAGGCCGACACTCTATCCACTGAGCCAAACTGGTTTCGGCACATTTTTGATTCTTAGAAGTATATTTCCAGTAGGACATGATCTCACTCATCTAGAGGAAATGGTGAACAACATAGACTGATGAACAGGAACAGACCCAGAGACAAGGAGCCATGAGTCAGACTGTTGGACCTCAAAGGGAGGGTGGGGATAAAAGGGAGAGATCAACCAAAGGACTTGTGTGCATACATCTGAGTCTAACCAGTGGTCAAGGACAGTAGGGGGGAGGGGGCATGAGTGGGGAGGGGTCGGGGATTGGAATGGGGGGTTGAGGACAGATATGTGATACCTTAATCAATAAAGAAATTAAAAAAAAAAAAAAAAAAAGAGCCGAAACTGGTTTGGCTCAGTGGATAGAGTGTCGGTCTGTGGACTAAAAGATCCCAGGTTCGATTCCAGTCAAGGGCATGTACGTTGGTTGTGGACACATCCCCAGTAGGGGGTGTGCAAGAGGCAGCTGATCGATGATTCTCTCTCACCGATGTTTCTAACTCTCTATCCCTCTCTCTTCCTCCCTATAAAAAAAATCAATAAAATATATATATCTTTTTTTTTTTTTTAAGAGAGAGAATCAGAAGCGAACACAGATGCAGGAGCAAGGGGTGGGGGACCGGGGTGATGGAGATAGAGACCAAGGGGCTGAGAGCCAGCACCTTAGAGAACAAGGGTGAACGAATGAGGGACGGAGATGATGATGAGCCGGAGGCAAGAGAGCTGAGCCTGTTGAGCCACCGTACGTGACCCCCCCCCCCCCCCAGCAGGTACTGGGTGCGCCTGGGGGAGCACAGCCTCAGCCACCTGGACTGGACCGAGCAGATCCGGCGAAGCTACTTCTCCGTGACCCACCCCGGCTACGAGGGCCCGCAGAGGAGCCATGAGCACGATCTGCGGCTCCTGAGGCTGGGCACCCCCGCCCGCCTGACCCGCAGCGTCCAGCCCCTGGCCCTGCCCACCTCCTGCGCCGCCGCTGGCACCGAGTGCCACATCTCCGGCTGGGGCACCACCAACCGGCCGTGGAGTAAGCCGGCCCTGGGGTAGCGGGGGAGGGGGGAGAGGGGAAGAGTCAAGTCAAAATGGGCAAAAGTCTGGGTGTCGGGTGAGAGGTCACCAGTCACCCCATCTCAGGGGGAAGGGTGGTTAAAGGGCCCAGCGGCAGGATGATAGTTTGGGGCTGGAGATCATGGTGGGTCAGGCCTTGAGTGTCTAAGTGGCTTAAGGAGTTGGATATGGAGTCAGAAGCCCTGGGTCAGGGAGGGTGTGGGTTAGAGGTCAGAGTGCTGTGCTGTCGGGGACCATCTGACTGGAGCAAAAGTCATGTTCTATCTAATAAAAGAGTAATGTGCAGATTGACTGTCCCTCCAACACACAAGGTGGCTGCCCCCATGTGGACACAAGATGGCCACTACAAGATGGCCAGAAGGGGAGAGTAGTTGGGACAGACTGGACCTTCTAGGTAGGGCAGTTGGGGGCGATCAAGCCTGCAGTGGAGAGCAGTTGCGGGGAACGAGGCCTGTAGGGGAGAGCAGTTAGAGGTGACCAGGCTGGCAGGGGAGCAGTTAGGCATCAATCAGGCTGGCAGGGGAGCAGTTAGGCATCAATCAGGCTGGCAAGGGAGTGGTTAGGGGGTGATCAGGCTGGCAGGCAGAAGCGGTTAAGGTTAATCAGGAAGGCAGGCAGGCAAGCAGTTGGGAGCCAGCCGTCCTGGATTGTGAGAGGGCCTAAACAGGCAGTCGGACATCCCTCGAGGGGTCCCAGATTGGAGAGGGTGCAGGCTGGGCTGAGGGTTACCCTCCCTTGCCCCCATGCACGAATCTCGTGCACTGGGCCTCCAGTATAAAAATAGGATCAGGGGTTGGTCAACGTCATTGAAGAGTTGAGGCCATAGGACCCACATGTTGCAGAAGCTGGCCACAGTCTCAGGATGGAGATTAAGGGTCATCGGTTTGGGACCAAAAGCCACAGTGTGTAGAGTGTGGAGGCAGGTCAGGGAGTCAGGGTTCAAATAACCTCGGACCAGAGATCACCCTGGAGTAGAGACCCGTGACTTAGAGGAAGCAGAAGTGAGGCTGAACTCTAAGGTGAAGACCAAGGAATACGGGGTCAGGAGATAGAAGATATAAGGTCCAAGTTGGGAATCAAAAGATGATAATAAGCCTGAAGGTCGAAGGTCACACAGCACCTGAAACGAGAGGAGGAGGCCAGGTCCGGATTCCACGGTATCTGTGGTCAGAGGCACACAGAGGGTCTAGCGTTAGGACACTCAACGTTAGAGGTTAAAGGTCCCGGAACTCCAATGGGCTGGGGTCAAAGGTCATGATGGCGTCAAGTCATCCATCTGAAGCCTGGAGGTTGGAGGGTCCCAGGGGAGGTCACAGGGAGGGGACAGGGCATGGTTGTGGACCGAGCTTCCTTGAGAGGAGGGACCAGTAGCATCCACTTTCCTCCCCCAGGCCCATTTCCAGACAAGCTGCAGTGCCTCAACATCTCCATCGTCTCCAGCACCATTTGCCGAGCAGTGTTCCCCGGGAGAATCACAGACAACATGGTGTGTGCGGGCGGCAACATGGGAAAGGATGCCTGCCAGGTAAGCAGTGCAGGGATGGGGAGCAGGGGGCAGAGAAGGGGGATGTGGGGAGGGTGAGTCAGGGAAAAGGGGATAGGGGGGAGAGATGAGGTCAGGAAGAAGGGGAGGCCCAGCAGGAGGGAGGGGGACAGAACAGGAGGAAGAGCCAGGGAATGGAGGACAGAAAGAGGGAGGGTGAGTCAGGGAAAGGGGATAGGGAGGAGAGATGAGGTCAGGAAGAGGGGAGGCCCAGCAGGAGGGAGGGGGACAGAACAGGAGGAAGAGCCAGGGAATGGAGGACAGAGAGAGGGAGGGTGAGTCAGGGAAAGGGGGTAGGGGAGAGAGATGAGGTCAGGAAGAAGGGGAGGCCCAGCAGGAGGGAGGGGGACAGGACAGGAGGAAGAGCCAGGGAAAGAAGGACAGAGGGTGGGCGGGTGGGCAGAGAGGAGAGGGAGATGGGGGAGAGTGAAGGAGCAGCAGAATGTGGGGCGCTTAGGTAGGCAAGCTACTCCCTCCCCAGTTCTGAGTCTTCCCCACACCTTCCTCCTCCTTCGGTCAATACTGGCCCAGGTGAGAGATTCCAGGATGGAGGCCGGAAAGGGGGTGGGGGTGCTCTCAGCCTCACAGTCTGCTTGCCTTGCCCTCTGGGGTCCTCCAGAGAGGAGGCCTGCCCCACCCAACCAGCCAGGGCCCCAGCCTACTGCCCTTCAGAGAGCTCTTTATGGAGTCCCGCCCTCCTTTGCTGCGATTGGTTCTTGGTGCCCTGCTCTCTTCCCTCATTGGTCAGGACCCCTGCCATTGTTCTACTTTTTAAATATATATTTTGATTTCAGAAAGGAAGGAAGAGGGAGAGAGAGATAGAAACATCCAGGATGAGAGAGAATCATTCATTGGCTGCCTCTTGCACGCCCCCTACTGGGGATCGAGCCCACAACCCAGGCATGTGCCCTTGGCCAGAATCAAACCTGGGACCTTTCAGTCTGCAGCCTAACACTCTATTCATTGTTCTTGAGGGGACTCTCTACCCTTTGGGGAGCTCTCAGCCTCACATTCCGCTTGCCTTTCCCTCTTGAGTCCTCCAGAGAGGAGGCCCGCCCCACCCTACTGGCCAAGGGCCCCAGCCTCCTGCCCTTCAGAGGACTCTTTATGGGGTCCCGCCCTCCTTTGCTGCGATTGGTTGTTGGTGCCCTGCTCTCTTCCTTCATTGGTCAGGGCCGTTGCCATTGTTCTTAAGGGGACACTCTGCCCTTTGGGAAGCTCTCAGCCTCACATTCTGCTTACCTTGCCCTCTTGGGTCCTCCAGAGAGAAGGCCTGCCCCACCCTACTGGCCAAGGGCCCCAGCCTCCTGCCCTTCAGAGGACTCTTTATGGAGTCCCGCCCTCCTTTGATCCGATTGGTTGTGGGAGCCCACACCCTCTTCCCTCATTGGTCAGGGCCCCTGCCATTGTTCTCTATCCTGTGTGGAGACCCGCCCACCTTCCCTGAGTCTGGGAACAGTGTGTTCTTCCCTGTTGTCAGTCCCAGCTCTTGTCCCTCCGGCACTGGGCCGTGCTCTTTCTCTGGCCACCAGGTTTGGAAGCACTGTCCTCAAGGCCCAGACATGGGCTGGGGAGAGGACAAATGCACAACAGGATTGCTCCCCTGTTCAGGCCTTTGCTCCTTTCCCCCCTTCTCCTTCCAGGGTGACTCCGGCGGCCCCCTGGTGTGCGGAGGCGTCCTTCAGGGCCTGGTGTCCTGGGGGTCCGTGGGGCCCTGCGGCCAAGAAGGCATCCCAGGGGTCTACACCAACATCTGCAAATATGTGGACTGGATCCTGGGGGTCATCAAGGACAACTGAGGGCTCCCTCTACCCCCCCCCCTCCTCGGCTTGGGGGGCCCCGGGAGGGCCACCCCCACCCCCTCATCGTCAATCCCCAGCTCTCACTCTTCTTGGTCTGGGACATCTCCTCCCCAGAACTCCCACCTCCAGCCAGCTCCCTCTAAAGACCCTCGGTTCGGGGAGGAGGGAGTGTGGGACCCGACGGAATAAATATGACTCGCCCAGGGGTGGTGTGTGTCTGTCTGTCTGTCTGACTGTCTGACTGTAGGGAGGGCTCCTTCCTTCCTCTCCTCACTGGTGTAGCAATGGGGATCTCCGTTGCGGAGGGGTTTCCCCCCAGGAATGGAGAAGAACAAGTTACTTATAACAATAAAAATAAGGGACCTTTTTGGACACCACAGGAACAGGAACAGGAACCAAGCCCTTATAAGCTTTTCAAGGGCTCATACGCATAAGGACCTGAAAAAAGGGAGGTGGGGAGGGACTTACTGGTTGCAAAAGAGCAAACCACAACTGTGAAATCAAAATCCATTGAATTAAACGCCCATAAAGTGTACTATCCTCCCCAACCAGCCCATGGCAACTTGCTTCTGCTGGAGTCGAGCACACGTTCTATTATTTTTAAAAAATATATATTTTATTGATTTTTTTTTTTTTTTTTTTTTTTTTTTTTTTTTTTTTACAGAGAGGAAGGGAGAGGGGATAGAGAGTTAGAAACCTCAATGATGAAAGAGAAACATCGATCGGCTGCCTCCCGCAACCAAGGCACATGCCTTTGACCGGAATCGAACCTGAGACCCTTCAGCCCGCAGGCCAAGGCTCTATCCACCGAGCCACACCGGTGAGGGCCACACGTTCTATTATTTAACGACTGCACGTGGCCTGTGGGCTTGTTTTGGAGGGCGGGGTGCAGGCATCCCTGGGAAGGCGGGGGACCCAGCCTATGTCTTTAAATGTATCTTACTCAGCCCCTTGGGGTCTGTCCTCACGGCCTTTCTGGGAGGTGCAGGGAGAACTTGTCTGGAAGAGGAATTTGAGGTGTGATCCTGACAGCCGTGGGAACACGGGCTGAGAGAGAACCTTCTGTCCTTGGCTCTCTCCAACTCCTCACCCCAATCCCCCCAAGGCAGGGCCGTCCTGTCCCCCACTCCACACACACACACACACACACACACACACACGCACACACACACACACACACCCCTCCGGGTCACAGATGAAGAAACTGAGCCTCGCTGGGGTGGAGTCCCGGGTCCCACGTCAGCGCGCTAAGCCAGAGGCAGAGCCGTGGTCCGGGGCCAGGGCTGGCTGCTGGCAGCACCCAGGCCTACCTGGCAATCCTGCTCTGCATCTGGTTAGAGGAGCGGGGAGGGCACGACAGGAAGCAGATCGGCCTGATAAACACAAGCCCAGAGACGTCGGGGATTGTCTCTCGACTCTGCCCACCTGGAAACCGAGGTGGCTGGGGTTTGGGAAGGCGTCGGACCCAGGTCACACAACCAGTAAGTGCCACAGCTGGATGCTGAGGCCCCTAGGGTTAGGGGGGTTCCCCGTGGACTCAGGCGAGGAGAGAAGGGGGTGGGATGGGCGCAGAGGGAAGGGGGAGGGGGCACAGAGGAGCCCTCATTTCCCATTCTCGGGCCTTGACTCCCACAGGCCCCGACCTGCCTCCCCCACCCTCCTGTCCTGCCCCTGCGCCTGGCAACAGCCCCGCCTCTGGGACGCCCCAGTTCCCCCTTTCCTTGGAATGGAGAAAGGGAGGGGCCCAAAGGAGGCCAGGGGCCCATGGGGGCTCGAGCTGCAGGGAGGGAGGGGCGGGCCCAGGAGGAGATGAGGCAGAAGAGGGTTAGGAGGCAGAGGGAGGGGAAGGGAAAGACGGACAGAGGGAGGGAGGGAGGCAGCCAGAGACAGGCTCTAAGGACAAAGCCTGGGAGATGCAAACAGGGACAGAGGGAGACGGAAAGCCACAGACACGGGAGAGACGACAGAATTACAGAGAGGCGGCCGGTGACAGGGGAGGGGAGAGAGACTCGGAGCCACAGGGCAGGAGGCAGGCGGCAGGCAGGTGGGCAGGTGGATGGACCGGCCGGCCGGAGGAACCCTGAGCAGCCAGCAGAGAGAAGAGGGGCTTAGGAGGTGACAGAGGCAGCCAGGCGGGCGGCATCATCACCCAGGCCCTGCGCCTCGTCTGGGTAGGGCCCCCCCGACACACACCCCGCCCCCAAGGCAGTAAGGCAGGGCTGGGAGGCCCAGTCATCCGGGCCACCCCCTACGGCTGCCAGCCTGCCCCAGCCTGTCACAGCTGCCACCACCACCACCACCACCACCACCGCCACCGCCGCCACCGCGGGTCCCCGGAGCCCCAGCTCCAGAGCCTGTGAGTCTGGGAGGGGAAAGAAGGCCCGGCATCCAGGTGGTACCAGGCAGACAGGGAGCACCAGGCCTCCTGGTTTGGCCACTGTTTCTCCCTCTGCTCTGTCCTAGGCTTGGGGGCCGGGCAGGGGGAGGCGGGGAGAAGGGCCTCTATGTTTCTCTCTCTGCCTCTCCCACCGGCCGCCACCGCCAACCTCCTCCGTGACTTCTGGCCTCTGTCCCAGCCTCTGTCCCTGAGTCCGGCCCTCCACCTCTGCCCCCGTTGGCCAGGGCAGCTGAGGACATGGGCTCTTCCTGGGACCAGCCCCTCCCAGCTCTGTCCAGGGCCCTTCCAAGAGGCTGGGGTGCAGCAGGGCAGGGTCCCCAAACATCATCTCTGGCCAAGGACCCCCACCGTGCACCCCCAGGAAAGCCTGTGAAGGGTTTATGTCCCCCTGGGGGTGGTTCCTGAATGGCGCCAGGTCCCTTTCCACTCCTGCCCCAAGCTGTTGGGGCCCAGCCAGCTCTCCGGTGGGCAGGGAGAAGGAGGGTGGGGTGCAGAGAAGGCCAGAGGACCCAGCCTATGTCTTCAAATCCTACAAAGGGAACCTTGGGGGGTTTTCAGAGGTTGAGGTGAAACCAGGCAAAGCCTCCAGGGGCCGCCAGCAGCTGCTATCTGAGATCTGGCCCCTCCAAGGCCACCTCCAGACATTCATGACAAGGTCGGGGTGCTGTGAGGGACAGACCGAGGGGATCCTTCTCGCCCTGCTGTTTCTCCCCCGGGGGCCGTCAGGGCAGGCGAGGGAGAGGGGGATGGGCAGGAACCAGCCCGCAGTTCCCCCCATGGGCTCCCTCCTTGCTTCCAGAAGCACCTGGGGCCTGCCGTCCTCTCCGCCCTGTGCCAGGCCATGACGATTCTGCCATTACTCGTGCTTGCTCTGGTGACAGGTACGGTGGGCGATGGGGAAGGGCAAGGGACCTCTCCTACTCTACCCTCCAGGCGTCCCCCCCAACCCTCTCCGTGTCTAGAATAACCCAGAGGGCATCTGCATGGGTCTATGAGCCAGAATGAGACCTTGGTCACCCCCTTTGTTTTATTTTTTAAATATATTTTATTGATTTTTTTTTTTTTTTTTACAGAGAGGAAGAGAGAGGGATAGAGAGTTAGACACACCGATGAGAGAGAAACATCCATCAGCTACCTCCTGCGCACTCCCTACCGGGGATGTGCCCGCAACCAAGGCACATGCCCTTGACCGGGAATTGAACTGGGGACCCTTCAGTCCACAGACCTGCGCTCTATCCACTGAGCCAAACCGGTTTCGGCTGTCACTCCCTTTATGTGCTAAAATGGGGAGAGGTCCAGGAGGGCCCCAGGGGAGGGGCCAGGGCCTCAGGGCTGGAGTGGGAGGCAAAGAGCTTAGGACAGTGGCTATTGGCCAACTGCCATGTCAATCATCCAAGGCCCGGCCTTTCCATACTGTGCATCTCAGCGGGACACCAGGTGGGGTGGAGGGGGCCCAGACACCGCCCCCCATCCCTCTCTCCTGGGAGTCCTCTCATGCCTGAGCCCCCTCTTTTGCCCCCACCCCCTCCAGGGCATGTAGGGGGAGAGACGAGGATCATCAAGGGGTACGAGTGTCCTCCTCATTCCCAGCCCTGGCAGGTGGTTCTGTACCAGAAGACACGCATGCTCTGCGGGGCAACCCTCGTCGCCCCCAAATGGCTCCTGACAGCGGCTCACTGCCTCAAGCCGTGGGTGCGGGGGCCGGGGCGGGGCCGGGAGGGGGCTGGAGTGGGGCTTGGTGGAGGGTGGGAGCATGTGCATGGGGTGAGAAAGGTTGGGGGGAGATGGGTACAGAGGCGTTGGTGATGGGGAGACCCAGGGGATTGGGGAGGGAAGAATGGACGGCATTGGAACTGGGATGGGGTTGGGGATGGGGCCGGGTGCTGGGTGCTGGGTGCTGGGTGGGGATGTACTTTGGAAGGAGGCTCCGACTGGACCCAGGGGTAAGGTGACCAGACGTCCCGCTTTTGGCGGGACAGTCCCGATTTTGAACAATTCGTCCCGCGTCCCGCAAAGTTTAAAAATAGTCCCAATTTTTTGGAAAGAATGCACGACAAGCTAGGGAACGGCGGGAGAACGGGAAGGGAATATACGGTTTTCGGCGGCCATGTGGCTAGTTAGCCAGGATAGGCGCTGTTATGTTATTTTTGTTAATTTTATAATGTTAAACTTTAATCTTGACAAATAACTGTTGAGGACTGATTACCGAGAACTGCTTATCAAAGTTCGCATTGTTGACCAGTTGTTAGAATTCACTCAAGTGAGAAATATGCCAAAGAATAAAATAATACTATACATAATTGTTTTTTATTTGTTATATTTATAAATTGTACTAATGTTGAAATTTTTAAAAAATATATATATATTACAATACCATTTTTGCATTCTATGAAAATTTTTGTTGCTCCATAGAGACCAAGTTTTTCATCAAGAATTCTCTTCCCCCCACCCCCCGCAATCAATGGTGTCCTGCTTTACCAATGTTAAAATCTGGGCACCTTACCCAAGGGTGAGGTTGGAAGTGGAGGTGTGGTCCTTCACTCCCCTCTGTCTCTCCCCCTGCAATCCCCCCCCCACCCAAACCCCATGCCTCTGGCCCCACCTCCCATCTCTCCTCCTCCTTCCACCCCTGACTGTCCCCTCTCCCCCCTCAGCCAGTACATAGTGCACCTGGGGATGCACAGCCTGCAGCGGCACGATGGCTGGGAGCAGACCCGGAGGGCCACCGAGTCCTTCCCGCACCCCGACTTCAACAACAGCGTCCCCAACAAGGACCACCGCAACGACATCATGCTGGTGAAGATGGCGTCCCCGGCCGTCATCACCTGGGCCGTGCGGCCCCTCCGGCTGTCCTCCCGCTGCGTGGCCCCCGGCACCCGCTGCCTCATCTCCGGCTGGGGCACCACCTCCAGCCCCCAGTGTAGGAGCTCCACGGGGCTGGGGGGGACGTGGGGGGGGGGTGTTCACCACTGAGGAAGGTGGGGGAGAGACCAGAAGAGTCTTAGTGATCAAAGAGGGTCCTACCTTTTGGGGTGGGGTTCATAGACAGAGGAGGGGGTTGGGATGAGGGAGGAAGGGGTTGGGATGAGAGAGGAGGGGGTTGGGGGTTGGGGATGAGGGAGGAGGGGGTTGGGGATGAGGCTGGAGTTATGGGTGAGAACAGAGATGGGGCTTAGGGTGAAACATGGAGTTGGGGCTACCTTTTGGTGGGATCAGGTGGGATCAGGTGAAGGGAGGCGTGGGAAGTCAGGGCCTAGGAATGGGCTGGAGACAGGTGTTTGGGGCCTTCGACTCAGACAGAGATGCAGTCCCAGACCCACACTCGCTGTTTGCCCTAGGACCGTAGGCAGGCGGCCTCACCTCTGTCAACCTTGGTTTTCTCTATAAGATGAGAAACCGCCAAAACCGGTTTGGCTCAGTGGGTAGAGCGTCGGCCTGCAGACTGAAAGGTTCCAGGTTCGATTCTGATCAAGGGCATGTAGCGTGGTTGAGAGTACATCTCCAGTAGGGGGGTGCAGGAGGCAGCTGAGCGATGATTCTCTCTCATTGATGTTTCTAACCCTCTATCCTTCTCTCTTTCTCTCTGTAAAAAGTCAATAAAATATATTTTAAAAATAATAATAATAAAAAAATAAAATGAGAACCCACTCATACCCATTCACCCACCAGAGCAGCAAGGACCTTACTGCGGGCTGTCAGAGAGCACAGGGACAGGGCACGGAGCCAGGCGGCTCTTGTGTTCCACACCCCTCCCTGCCGTTTCCACAGTGCACCTGCCCCACAGCTTGCGATGTGCCAACATCACCATCATCGACCACAAGGAGTGTGAGAACGCCTACCCGGGCAACATCACGGACACCATGGTGTGCGCCAGCGTGCGGGAGGAAGGCAAGGACTCATGCCAGGTCAGAGGGCAGGGCCTGGGTCTCCAGCCTCCGCCATGTCTTCATCGGCACCCGCCACCCCCAACCCCGCCTCTCCCCTGACAGCACACTCTGCACCTTCCCCTCTCCCGGTCCATCCTAGCTTTACCCTCACCCTCTGCTCACGCCTTCTGTAGCCCCAAATCCATCTCCAGCTCCCTATGCCCACCCCAACTATCCCGAAATCCATTTTCTTTTAAAAATATATATATTTTATTAATTTTTCACAGAGAGAAAGAGAGAGGGATAGAGAGTTAGAAACATCGATGAGAAAAAAATCATGGATTTTTTGCACACCCCGTACTGGGGATGTGCCCGCAACCAAGATACATGCCCTTGACCGGAATCGAACCCAGGACCTTTCAGTCTGCAGGCTGACGCTATATCCACTGAGCCAAACTGATTTTCGGCAGTTTTCTTTTTCTTTAAATATGCTTTTTAAAAATATATTTTTTATTGATTTTTCTTTTTTACAGAGAGGAAGAGAGAGGGATGGAGTTAGAAACATCAATCAGCTGCCTCCTGCACACCTCCTGCTGGGGATGTGCACGCAACCAAGGTACATGCCCTTGATTGGAATCAAACCTGGGACCCTTGAGTCTGCAGGCAGATGCTCTATCCATTGAGCTAAACTGGTTAGGGCTGTTTTCTTTTTCTTTTAAATATGCTTTTATTGATTTCAGAGAGGAAGGAAGGGAGAAAGAGAGAGGGAGAGAGATATCAGTGATGAGAGAGAACCATGGATGGGCTGCCTCCTGCACACCCCACACCAGGGATCGAGCCCACCACCTGGGAATAGAACCGTGACTTCCTGGTTCATTGATGGATGCTCAACCACTGAGCCATGCCAGAAGGACCCCAACTCCATTTTCTACCCCCAACCCCCATCTTTGTTCTCACCCATAACTCCATCCTTATCCCCAACCCCTTCCCCCATGGTCTTTATTTGACCGTCTATTTGGATGCTGGATATAGTGATCTTGGTCTCAAATCCTTGCTTTCCATTACCTTGAGTACTTCATGCCATTCCCTTCTGGCCTGTAGAGTTTCTGATGAGAAATCATGTGCCAGCCTTATAGGAACTCCTTTGTAGGTAACAGTTTTCTTTTCTCTTGCTGCCTTTAAGATTCTCTCTTTGCACCAAAGCCAGTTTGGCTCAGTGGGAGAGCGTCGGTCTGCGAACTGAAAGGTCCCAGATTCGATTCCAGTCAAGGGCATGTACATTGGTTTCGGGCACATCCCCGGTAGGGGGTGTGCAAGAGGCAGCTGGCCAATGTTTTTCTCTCATTGACATTTCTAGCTCTCTATCTCTCTCTCTTCCTCTCTGTTAAAAATCAATAAAATATATATTTAAAAAAAAAGATTCTCTCTAATTATTGGGATTTTAATTATGGTATGTCTTGGTTTGGGTCTGTTTGGGTTCTTCTTGCTTGGGGTTCTCTGTGCCTGCTGAATTTGTGTGACTTTTTCTTTTACCAGGTTAGGGAAGTTTTCTACCTTAATTTCTTTAAACACCTTCTTTACTCATTTCTCCCTTTCTGCCTCTTCTGGCACACCTACTATTCTAATATTGTTACATTTCACAGTCTCCACCACATGAACCCCAGCCCACCCCCCCCCCCCACCTCTCCCTGACCCCGCACCCAGCACCTTCCCCTCCCCCGAGGCTCCTCATTCCCGCTGATGGGTTTTCTCTCTCCTGGTCCCCAGGGTGACTCCGGAGGCCCTCTGGTCTGCAATGGGTCTCTCCAAGGCATCATCTCGTGGGGCCAGGACCCGTGTGCCGTCAGCAGGAAGCCTGGCGTCTATACCAAGGTCTGCAAATACGTGGACTGGATTCACGAGACGATGAAGAACAACTAGCTGGCACCAGCTCGCCAGCCTCACCCCCCCAACACCCCGTCCGTGTGTGCGAGCGCGGTGATGTGCCGCCTGTTCCTTCTGTTCCTCATGAAGCCTGGGCCTGGGCCCGGACCCCTTCCCTCGTCCTCTGGGCTTCCTCGGCTGGATCCATACCAACGCACAATAAGCAACTTGTCCGAGCGAACGAGGCCGGAATTCATGAATGTGGGACTCTGGGGGTGATGACGGGGTAGCTGTTTGGTTCATGGTTGTATGTATTCCCCCCTCATCCCAAAGACAGTTCCTGGCACACGATTTCAATAAATATCTAGGACATGGATGGCTCTCCTGAGTGCTTAACTGGGTGCCAGACCCCGGTCCAAGGGCTTTTACATGTACAAATGAACATAATCCTGCACCAACGCCTAAGGGGGTCGAGCTATTATTATTATTATTACTACTATTACTATTACTAGAGGCCTGGTGCACAAAATTCGTGCGTGGGAGGGGGGTCCCTCAGCCCAGCCTTCACCCTCTCGCAATCGGACATTCTCCCTGCAATCCGGGACTGCTGGCTCCTAACTGCTTGCCTGCCTGCCTGCCTGCCTGATCACCCCTAACCACTCTGTCTGCCTGTCTGATCACCCCTAACCGCTCTGTCTGCCTGCCTGATCACCCCTAACTGCTCTGCTTGCCTGCCTGATCACCCCTAACTGCTCTGCCTGCCTGCCTGATCACCCCTAACTGCTCTGCTTGCCTGCCTGATCACCCCTAACTGCTCTGCCTGCCTGCCTGATCACCCCTAACCGCCTCTGCCTTGGCCCACCGCTGCTGTGGCTTCGTCTGGAAGGCCATCCAGAATGACGTCTGAAAGGTCGTTTGGCTTTCAGTTCTAATTAGCACATCACACTTTTATTATTATAGATTATTACACCTATTTTGCAGATGGGGAGACTGAGGCACAGTGAAATGAAGTCACTGGCTCATGGTCACACGGCCAGTAAGTAGAAAAGCCGGGAGCCTGAAACAGGGGTGATTTCCTCACGGAGCCCTCCTGCCTCTGTCTCCTTAGCTGTCTCGCCACGCTTACGCCTTGGACCCCAGCACGTGAGGCAGGTCTGTGTGCCCACAGTGAACACTGAGCAAAAGGGAGCTCTCGTTGCTTTGTTTCCAACCTCCGTGAGAGGTCGCAGGCCAATCCGTTAGCCCCGTGGTTGGCAAACCGCGGCCCTCAAGCCACATGCGGCTCTTTGGCCCCTTGAGTGTGGCTCTTCCACAAAACACCACGGCCTGGGCGGTCTATGCTGAAGAAGCGGCGTTAGAAGAAGTTTACGTTTTAAAAAATTGGCTCTCCAAAGAAACTCCAGTCGTTGCACTGTGGATATTTGGCTCTGTGGACTCATGAGTTTGCCGACCACTGAGTTGGCCACTAACCGCATGCGGCTTTAAAAAAATACGTTTTCTTTTTTAATATATTTTATCGATTTTTTTTTACAGAGAGGAAGAGAGAGGGATAGAGAGTTAGAAACATTGATGATAGAGAAACATCCATCAGCTGCCTCCTGCATACCCCGTACTGGGGATGTGCCCGCAACCAAGGTACATGCCCTTGACTGAAATCGAACCTGGGACCTTTCAGTCCGAAGGCTGTCGCTCTATCCACTGAGCCAAACCGGTTTCGTTTTCATGGATTTTTAGAGAGTTGGGAAGGGAGGGAGCTAGAAACATCCTTGAGAGAGAGAGAGAGAGAGAGAGAGAGAGAGAGAGAGAGAGAGAGAGAGACACTAATCGGGTGCCCCCTACACATCGGCCTCAAATGGGGATGGGGATGGAACCTGCAGCCTGGGCATGTGTCCTGACCGGGAATCGAACCAGCGACCTCTTGGTGCAGGGCCCGGCGACGCTCGACCACTGAGCCACACCGGCCGGGTGTGACTCTACATGAAAATCACATGAAACCAGAAATGCCATTTTTCCGTCCCATGGGACACGCCGGACGGGTGGCCGGTGGCCGCCTGGGTGGGCAGCACCCACGGAGCACCGTGTGGCCACAGGAAGTTCGCCTGGAGGACGCTGAGCAGAGCGGAAGGAACTCGCTCCTCTGGAGCTGGAGAAGCTGCTGGATCAACAGTCCAGCACTGCTGGGCTCTTTCCCAGGGTTCTGCTCTCCTGGCAGGGGAGGGAGGCGGCCGGCACCAGGAGGAAGCGCCCGGAGCCGGAACAGGGGCCTCCCGATTGTTAGGCGGACTCGCTGGTGACCTCCCCTGAGTCACGGCCTCTCTGAGCCTCCCAGCCCTCACCCCGAAAGGAGGAAGCTGGCTGCAGGGCTGTGGACACCCCTCGCAGCCTCTGGTGGTGATTCACCGGCCTGCCTGTCAGGAAGGCGTGAAGGGACCACACATGGGGATGACGGAGAGTGCCCGCCTGCCTCCCTCCCTCCTGCAGCACACGGGCTAGGTCACTAAGGCACAGACCAACCACCGCTCTGGCTTCGGGGGCGGGGGGGGGGGGGATGGACTCCAGCACAGAGCACCCCTCTGGGCCTTGTCTCCCTCCACCTCCTCGCCCTCCGTCTCCCCATTTTCCTTTTCCTGTTTTGATCCTTTTGAGTGTCTGTCTCTGTGGCTCCTACTCTGTCCTTCAAGCCTCTCTTATCTCTGCCTCCCTCTCTCCCCGGCCACCTGCCGGCTTTTCTGACGTGGTCACCCAGGTATGCGTTTCCCTGTTTATTTATTTTTTCCCAGGTCTCCCCCTGTTTGTTTATTGTCCCCAGGTCTGTGTCTCCTCGTGTGTTTTCTCTTCTCCTGCTCTCGGTCACTCCTCTAGAACGCGCGCTCCCAGGCCACCCTCTCTCCCCATGTGAGAAAGATTCCTTGGAACAAGGAGACGGAGGGACACCCCCCAAGAAAGCCAGGTCCCCCAAAAAAGGGGGTGTTTGGGGCGGTGGGAGAAGCCCGTGTTCCTGGCCCCTCCCAGAGCAGGAATCTGAGGCCCAGGTGGAACGCCAGCCGCGCCCACGGAATAATTAGGGAGAGGGAAAGGGAGGGGGCGAGGCCCGGGGGCAGGGTGGGGAAGTTTCCGGGCTCTCGGAGGTTAAAAGGGAAGGCCAGGCCAGGGGTCCCTGGGCAGAGGATCCAGCGGCCCACAGGATCAGAAGGAACAGTTCTGGGTCACCACCTCCTCCTCCTCCTCCTCCTCCTTCACGACAACCAGGTAAGCTCAGGTGCACCCCACTCTGGTTCGGGACCCTGAACCCCAGGCCGGAGCCCTGCTGGAGCCTGGTTTCCCTCCAGAACCGCCAGCCTCGGGGGTTAGGAGGCGCAGGGCAGCCCCGCCAGGAGGGCGCTCCTCAAGGCACAGGAAGAGCATCATTAAGATAATTGTGCCCGTGACCGCTGTCCGCGCCGAATGGCCCCTCGGCCTGCCCCTTGGGTTATGGGGGGCAGGCTGGGGGAATGGGGGAGCAGCTGGGGATGGGGGGCGGGCTGGGGGAATGGGGGAGCAGCTGGGGATGGGGGCGGGCTGGGGGAATGGGGGAGCAGCTGGGGATGGGGGGGATAGGGGGGAAGCTGGGGGGTGGGGGCAGGCTGGGGGGGATGGGGGCAGGCTGGGGTTATGGGGGTAGGTTGAGGTTATGGGGGGCGGGCTGAGGGGGTGGGGGGCAGGCTGGCCGATGGGCGCTGCGGGATGGGGATGAGGGTCTTTGTTAGGGCACCTGTTTTAACCAGCCTCCTCCCCAAACCCCCCACCCCCAGCCCAGGTCCTGGCCATGAGACTCCAGCACCTGCACCTGCACCTCCCCGCCGCCCCGGGCGCCCGGGCCCCGGCCCAGCTGCTGCTGCTGCTGCCGCTGCTGATGGCGCAACTGTGGGGTGAGGCGGGGGTCAGGAGGCACGGGAAGGGGCGGCGGGAGAGGGAGCTCTCACCGCCCACCCACCTGCACCCCCGCACCCGCTCCCACCCGGGCCGGGGACCCCGCGCGCAGCCAGCGGTCCCTCCCCTCCTCCCCCCCAGCCCCAGCCGCGCCCCCAGGTCTAGCTCTGCCGGGGATGCCCCGCCCCGCAGGCCGCCCGCATCCACCCCTACCCCTCACCCCTTCCTTCCCGTGCCCTCTCCTCGCCCCCAACTCCCCCAGGTGGGGTGCGCTTCTCCGGTCCCCTCACCCCGGCTCTGTCCGGTCCCGGTCCCTCCTCCCTCCGCCCTGTTGGGTCCCAGCCTTAATCCCCCCTCCCCACCCCCTGCTCCTGCCCGATTCGCTATTCCCACGCCTTATACCCCGCGCCCAGCGCGCCCCGGGTCTGAGCCCCGCCCCTCCGCCCCTCCCTGCCCCTCCAGACCCAACCCATCCCATCCTGCTGGGTCCCTTGTCTCCACTCCTCCAGCTCCCGACTTCTTCCCCTTCCCCACCCCGTTCCTTCCTGCCACTTCCCTTAGGGTTCCCGCGTCACCCCCACATTCCCCCCAATTTACACTGTCTCCCGGGTTCTGCCTGCCCCCCCGCCTCCAGTCCCACCCCCTGCTCCTGCCCGATTCGTTATTCCCACGCCTTATACCCTGCACCCCGAGCAGCCCGGGTCCGAGCCCCTCCAGCCCCATTCCATCCCATCCCGCTGGGTCCCCTGTCTCCATCAGCCCGCTCCCGCCTTCCTCCCCTTCCCCGCCCCGTTCCTTCCCGCCACTTCCATCAGGGTTCCCGAGTCAACCCTACCCCCCCCCCCCACTTTCTCCCCGGGTCTGCCCGCGCCCCCTCCAGCCCCACCCCCTGCTCCATCCCGTCCTGGCCGCGGCTCGAACCCCAGACTCAGCCCTTGCCCGCCCTGCGTCGCCGGCTGCTCTGATCGCCCCCTTTTCTTCCCCCCCCCCAGCTGCAGGGGCCGTGCCCCCCCAGAACGCCACGGCTCTGGAGCTCCAGGCCGTCGGCACCGCCGGCGCCCCGTGCGCGCGCGGCTCGCAGCCCTGGCAGGTGTCCCTGTTCCGCGGCCTCGCGTTCCGCTGCGCGGGGGTCCTGGTGGCCCCGAGCTGGGTGCTCACGGCCGCGCACTGCGGGGGCGACAGGTAGGGAGCGGGCTCCCTGGGACGGCGCGGGGGTGGCGGTGGAGGCAGACCCGAGGGAGGGGGCGGGGGCCCGGGGTGCCTTGGAGGGTCTGGTGCTGTCCCGGTCAGGCCGAGCTGGGCTGCGCAGTGGCCGCCAGGGGGCAGTGCGGTCCTCGGCATCTCGGGCCCATCCATCACCTCCCTGCACCAGAGTCCTTCCCACCGGGTTCCATTCAGGTGCAGAGAGCTGCATGCAGCAGACAGCGGCCAATGAGTTAGCCCTAAAAGAAATTGTTCATTTCATGAGTCCCTGTGGAGGGAGGCAGGAAGGTGGGGTCAGGACTCTCCCATGTCCCCAGTTTTCTTCCACTCACTCCTCCTCCCTCAGACCCAGGGGTCCAAGCCCCTCCTCCCTCAGACCCAGCCCCCCAGCCCCTCCTCCCTCAGACCCAGGGTCCAGGCCCCCAGCCCCTCCTCCCTCAGACTCAGGAGTCCAGGACCCCAGCCCTCTCCTCCCTCAGACCAGGCGTCCAGCCCCTCCTCCCTCAGACCCAGGAGCCCCTCCCCCAGCCCCTCCTCCCTCAGACCCAGGGATCCAGGCCCCCAGCCCCTCCTCCCTCAGACTCAGGAGTCCAGGACCCCAGCCCCTCCTCCTCAGACCAGGCGTCTAGCCCCCAGCCCTCTCCTCCCTCAGACCCAGAGGTCCAAGCCCCTCCTCCCTCAGACCCAGGCGTCCAGCCCACTGCCTGTGCTTCCTTCCCAGGGACTCAGAGTCCTGTTTCCGTCTCACAGGCTCTGCCTCCCTGTGGCTCTTCTCTCCCCAGGCCGCTGTGGGCTCGCGTTGGGGACGACCACCTGCTGCTCCTGCAGGGCGAGCAGCTCCGCAGAACCACGCGCGCCATCGTGCACCCCAAGTACCAGCACGGCTCAGGCCCCATCCTGCCCAGGCGCACGGATGAGCACGACCTCATGCTGCTGAAGCTGGCCCGGCCGGCCGTGCTTGGGCCGCGAATCCAGACCCTGCGCATGTCCTACCGCTGCGCCCAGCCTGGCGACCAGTGCCAGGTGGCTGGTTGGGGCACCACGGCCCACCGGAGAGGCAAGAGCTGGGGCCCTGTATCCTGGGCAAGAGGGGCTGGGGGCGGGGCTCCTGGGTCTGAGGGAGGAGGGGCTGGACTCCTGGGTCTGAGGGAGGAGGGGCTGAGGGCCTGGACCCCTGGGTCTGAGGGAGGAGGGGCTGGGGGCCTGGACCCCTGGGTCTGAGGGAGGAGGGGCTGGGGGCCTGGACCCCTGGGTATGAGGGAGGAGAGGCTGGGGTCCTGGACCCCTGGGTCTGAGGGAGGAGGGGCTGGGGGCCTGGACTCCTGGGTCTGAGGGAGGAGGGGCTGGGGGCCTGGACCCCTGGGTCTGAGGGAGGAGGGGCTGGGGGCCTGGACTCCTGGGTCTGAGGGGATAGGGGCTGGGGGCTGGACTTCTGGGTCTGAGGGAGGAGGGGCTGGGCCAGGGGCCTGGGTCTGAGGGAAGAGGGGCTGGGGGCCTGGACCCCTGGGTCTGAGGAAGGAGGGCTGGGGGCCTGGACTCCTGGGTCTGAGGGAGGAGAGGCTGGGGGCCTGGACCCCTGGGTCTGAGGGAGGAGAGGCTGGGGGCCTGGACCCCTGGGTCTGAGGGAGGAGGGGCTGGGCCAGGGGCCTGGGTCTGAGGGAAGAGGGGCTGGGGGCCTGGACCCCTGGGTCTGAGGGAGGAGGGGCTGGGGGCCTGGACCCCTGGGTCTGAGGGAGGAGGGGCTGGGGGCCTGGACCCCTAGGTCTGAGGGAGGAGGGCTGGGGGCCTGGACCCCTGGGTCTGAGGGAGGAGGGCTGGGGACCTGGATCTCTGGGTCTGAGGGAGGAGGGCTGGGGGCCTGGACCCCTGGGTCTGAGGGAGGAGGGGCTGGCGGCCTGGACCCCTGGGTCTGAGGGAGGAGGGGCTTGGACTCCTGGGTCTGAGGGAGGAGGGGTTGGACCCCTGGGTCTGAGGGAGGAGGGCTGGGGGCCTGGACCCCTGGGTCTGAGGGAGGAGGGGCTGGAGCCTGGGGCCTGGGATGGGAACAGGCTGGGTGTGTGGACTCCGGGCCCCGGAGCACTGGGGCTGGACCCAGGAAAACCGGTGTTCTCTCCCATCAGTGAGGTACAACAAGGGCCTGAGCTGCTCCGGGGTCACCATCCTGAGCCCCCGGGACTGTGAGGTCTTTTACCCGGGCGTGGTCACCAGCAACATGATGTGCGCGGGCCTGGACCAAGGCCAGGACCCCTGCCAGGTAGGGCTGGGTGGGGAGGGCCTGGACCCGAGTCTGAGGGAGGAGGGGCTGGAGTCCTGGCTCCTGGGTCTGAGGAGGAACTGAACAGAGGGAGGTGATGGGGGAGCAGAGGGTCTGCCCTCATCCCCAACCCCCCAGACCCTCATCACCCCCACGCCCCACACGCCCCACCCCCACCTCAGCCTCATCCCTGTCAATGAAACTTGGTCCAAACCTATATGCAAATGTTATGGGTTTATCGGAGCCAAAACTTTTGAGGACGTGCCAGAAAGGGAGACCGCCATGGAAATCGGGACTTTTTTTTAAAATGCCGCGGGATGCGGGACAAATTGTTAAAAATCGGGACTGTCCCGCCAAAAGCGGGACGTCTGATCACCTTATTGTCGATGCATGAGAAGGATGAGCAGGCTTTGAGGAAGGTGAAGATGGGTTTCTTTCTTTGCTAAGGAAGCTGTAGGCCTGGGACACGACCTCCCGTGATGGCCTGCCCAGTTAGCAACTGGCGATCCGCCCATCCTATGAGGTTTCTTTCAGTCTCCATGTCAGTCGGCCTGCCCTATAGCCACCCCTGAGCTGGTCAGGTTTATGCCACAGCTCCCTTTTCATGCACGTCCTCACGCCCCACCCTACCTCCTTGAGCCCATCTTTTTTTAAATTTTAATTTAATTTCTTTTTTTTAAATATATTTTCTTGATTCTTTACAGAGAGGAAGGGAGAGGGATAGAGAGCTAGAAACACTGATGAGAGAGAAACATCGATCAGCTGCCTCTTGCACACCCCCTACCAGGGTTGTGCCCGCAACCAATATACATGCCCTTGACAGGAATCAAACCTGGGACCTTTCAGTCGGCAGCCCGACACTATCCACTGAGCCAAACCAGTTTCGGCAAGCCCATCTTTTTCTAAAATAAATTTTTATTGATTTCAGGGAGAGAGAGATGGAAACATCCATGGTGAGACAGAATCACTGACTGGCTGCCCCTTGCACGCCCCCTACTGGGGATCGATGCCCACAACCCAGGCACGTGCCCTTGATGGGAATCGAATCCGGGACCCTTTGGTCCACAGGCCAACGCTCTAGCCACTGAGCCAAACCGGCTAGGGCTGGGCCCATCTTCTTACGTCCAACGCTGACCCCAGTCCTGCCCCCTTCCCAGGCCATCCTGAACTTTATCCCCATCTCCAAGCCAATCCTAACCCCCCCACCCCATCTCTCTCTATAATTCCGTCTCCACCCCCTTCCCTGTCAGGAGCTAGAATCTCAGCTCCATCACACCTCCATTCTCACTTCTGGATCCAACATCCATAGCTCACGATCAAAGCCACGCCTTCCCACCCCACTTTATTTTTAAAAATATATATACATTGAGTGGCCAGATTATTATGATCTTTGAACGCATAATAATCTGGCCACTCAGTATATATATATATATATATATATATATATATATATATATATATATATATATATATTTTGGTCCACAGGTCCACCGAAGTATATATATAGACTCATATATAGGCCCGATGCATGCATTTATGCATGGGTGGGGTCCGGCCAGCCTGGCCATGGGGAGGGGACATGGGCAGTTGGCCAGCCTGCCTGCTGGTTGAACTCCTGGTTGAGGGGACAATTTGCATATTAGCCTTTTATTATATAGGACATACACTGAGTGGCCAGAATCCGTTCAGAGATCATAATAATGTGGTCACTCAGTGTATATATTGATTTCAGAGAGGAAGGGAGACGAAGAGAGAGAAACAGCAATGATGGGAGAGAATCAGAGAATCATTGAGCAGCTGCCTCCTGCACGCCCCCTCCTGGGGATCAAGCCTGCAACCCTTGACTGGAATTGAACCCAGGACCTTTCAGTCCACAGGCCCATGCTTCAGCTTCGGAGCCAAACCTGCTAGGGCCCCACCCCACTTTCTACCCAGTGCCAGCCCCACCCAACCTCCTCTCTATCTCAGCCTCTTTCTCCCCCACCATGACCTCAGTCTCCCTCACACTGGTAAATGTATCCGATCTCTCCTCCCTCTTCTCCCTCCAGAGTGACTCCGGGGGTCCCCTGGTCTGCGATGAGACCCTGCAGGGCATCCTGTCCTGGGGCGTTTACCCCTGCGGCTCGGCCCAGCACCCGGCCGTCTACACGCAGATCTGCAAATACACCTCCTGGATCGAGAAAACCATCCGCTCCAACTGACCCCGCCGCTCCCTCCCCATCTCACATCCTTCTTGACCCGAGACTCCTTCCGCGTCTCACATCCTCCCTGTACGGTCGCTGGATGGTCCCCCCTCGCCCCACCCAAAGCTCTGCCCCCCATCCTTACCAGCCAGCCCCTCTCCTCTCTCCTCCTCCTCCTCCCCGCTGGAGTGCAGGAAGCGGGAGCCCGAGAGAGGCCAGGAAGCCAGCCTCTGAGAGGTTATCTGCTTCTCTGCTGTGTGACCTCGGGCAAGCCAGAGACCTCTCTGGGCTCCCGTGTGCACCTGGGACATGAAGACAAAGAAGTGCCTACCTCGTAGACATGTTGTGAGGAGACCAGGACACAGTGTGTGTATCCGTGTGTAGATCACGATGGTCATTCTCAGTAAAGCATGACACAGCATGTGGCGGCGGTATGATCCATGAACAGGTCCTGGTGACAACGTGTGTGACTCTGGGTTGTGGAGAGAAAAGCACAGGGGTAGTCCCCAATCCTATTCGTTCCACCCTCTTCCCCCTACCCCCCCCCACACACACACATCCCAGGTGTCCCCATTCCTCAGGGCTGATGGGAATGTCACATGGCCCACTCCCCTCAGAAGTTCTGTGAAACACCTCCCCACCCTCCCAACCATGTCCTTCCCCCCTCCCATTATGTCCCACACCTGGGTCCAACCAACACCAGTCAGTCCTGGACAGCAGGAGCTGGCCTAGCTTTTATTATTTTTTTAAACTATATTGATTTTTACAGAGAGGAAGGGACCCTTCAGTCCACAGGCCAACGCTCTATCACCTGAGCCCTACCCATTAGGGCTGGCTCTGCTTTTCGCCATTTGGTACCTTGTTTGTCTTCCTGGGGCCACTGGAACACAAGAGACCTCACCCTGTCTCCACCCCAGCCTCTGGGGCCAGGGGAATGCTCCTCACCTTAATCGCTAAGTTTCCAAAAAGGGGCCTCCCTCTGAAATGTAGGGGAACAATTTTTTAAATTTCTTTATTTTTAAAAAAACATATATTATTGATTTTTTACAGAGAGGAAGGGAGAGGGGTAGAGAGTTAGAAACATAGATGAGAGGGAAACATACATCAGCTGCCTCCTGCACACCCTCTACTGGGGATGTGCCCACAACCAAGGTACATGCCCTTGACTGGAATCGAACCTGGAACCCTTCAGTCCACAGGCCAATGCTCTATCCCCGGAGCCAAATCGGCTAGGGCTTCACTGTGGTTTTCCTAAGTTCCTGGTACAGTGCCTGGCACACAGAAGCCACTCAGTACACTGTTGAATGAAAAAAATAATAACACCAATTTATCAATGCTGTAACAGAAAGAGGGACAGTGGTCCCCAAGGAGGGGCCTAGGTCTCTTCCCCAAGGAGTCAAGGAAGTCTTCTCAGAGGAGGAGGAGGCATTGCGCTGGGTTTTAAGGGATGAGGAGTTCACCTGTGACAGGGGGCGTGCATTTGGATCACTTACTACGCTGAGCAAATTACTTGAACTCTCTACCTCATTTCCACGCCCTTCCTGTGACGTTAAGATGCAGTGCTTACCTAACTGCCAGGTACAGAGTAAACAGTCCATAAAGGCAGCTGTCAAGATGTTCTTAAAGCAATTAGTCTGACTCTTAGCACATAGTGGGTATTCAGGCACACAGTGGGTATTCAGTCCTTGGTCTCAAAACCTGATCGTCTGGGGAGGGAGTTAAGACCACTGCAGTCCTGGGGGCAGGACAAAGCTCTGTAGGAGATGGACAGACATAGGCGGGTAATACTCGCAATGTGCCAGACACTGTCCTCACACGTGTGAATCAATCCCCCTACGACCTCAGTGGAGAGAGGTCCATAGACCTGCCCAAGTTCACACATCTTATGAATGACAGCATTGAGATATGGGTCCAGGTGGTCCAGGTCCAGAATTCATACTCCAGACGGTGACGTCCTTGTGAGGATGCATTCAAAGGGAGCCCAGACCCTGCTTGTCAATCAGGCTCGTGGCTGGGGGAAGAGGTGGTGAGTGCTCAGGGGAGGAAGAGATGGACTCTGCCTGGAGAAATCACAGAAGACTTTCTGTGGGAGGTGGTATTTAGGTTGGGTCTTGAAGGATGAGTTCAAGTTTCCCCAGGAAAAGAAGGATCTTAAGAAACGCTGCTGTAAAAACAGAAGGCATTCTTACCACTGGCAACAGCATGGATGGAACTGGAAAGCATTATGCTAAGTGAAATAAGCCAGGCAGTGAAAAATAACTACCACATGATCTCAATCATTTGTGGAATATAAAGGACATTATAAACTGTTGAACAAAAACAGATACAGCAAAGGCAAAGAAGCATCGAGCAGACTATCAAACTACAGCGGGAAGGCAGGGGAGGGTTGGGGGAAGGGGAAAGAGATCAACTGGAAGGACTTGTATGCATGCATATAAGCATACCAATGGACACAAGACATCAGGGGAAAGGGAGAGGGCAAGTGCAGGGAGGGAGTAGGGGAGGCTGGGAGGCGGTCAATTGGGAAAAAGAATATGAGATATATAATATGTACTACTAATTGTGATACCTTAAACAATACTATCTAATAAAAGAGTGATATGCAATTGACCATCACTCCAACACACAAGATGGCTGCCCCCATGTGGTCAAATATGGCTGCTCCCATGTGGACACAAGATGGTCGGTAGGGGAGGGCAGTTGGGAGGGACCAGGCCTGCAAGGAGGGCAGTTGGGGGAAACCAGGCCTGTAGGGGAGGACATTTGGGGGGAGGGGGGACCCAAACCTGCAGGGGAGGACAGTTGGAGGCAACCAGGCCTGCAGGGGAGGACAGTTAGGGGATATCCAGCTGGCAAGGGAGCAGTTAGGGGCAATCAGAAAGGCAGGCAGGCAAGTGATTGGGAGCGCTGGCCTTCCTGAATTGTGAGAGGGATGTCCAACTACCTATTTAGACCTGATCCTGGGCCTAAATGGGTAGTCAAACATCCCACAAGGAGTCTCAGATTGGAGAGGGTGCAGGTTGGGCTGAGGGACACCCCCCCCCCCCCACACACACACACACACGCCCTGTGCACAAATTTTGTGCACCAGGCCTCTAATAAAATAAAATAAAATAAAGCATCCACTCATTCAATTAACATATTCTGCAACCTCCCGGGAGCCGAGCGTGAACTGTGTGATTCTGGGGAAGCAGAGATTAATCAGACCTGGGCTTGGCCCTTCCTGGGCTGCCCATCAGATGAGAAGGTGTGGGGGAGATGCAGCAAGATTGGGGTGATGGGAAGGACAACTGAGGGGAGGAGATGGATGAGAAAAAGAACAACAAGAGAATGTTCTCTGCACGTAGCCAGGATCTGGGGACAATAAGAGAGAGGAAAAGTACTGGTTCCAGGCAGGGGGGCCACCTGGGCCTTGTGGTGTGAGGATGTGAGGAAGGGAGTAATGGCAAGTGTGTGTCAACCTAGTTGGGACCATATTTCTCAGACATCTTTGTGGTCTCTGCTTCTTTCAGTCTGAGTCAGAGTCTCTCTCTCTTTCTCTCTCTCTTTCTCTCTCTCTGGATCTTTCTGTGTCTCTGTCACCCTCTCCCTATGATTTCTTTCTCTGTCCCCACCTCCGCCACATCCCATCTCCGGTGTGGCTCCTTGCCTCTGAGTCCTGGTTCTTCTCCCACCTGTAGCCTGATTTCTGTGCAGCTCTCCTGGTCATGGGTCCTGCAAGATTCCAGAGCCTGCCTTAGGCACCTTCCTCATCACCCTCTTCCTCCTTCAGGCCACTCACCATCCTGCATGCAGATCCTGTACCTGGAGGTCATGGGGAGTTAATTTGCATACTCACTCCTGATTGGCTGGTGGGCACCAGGGAGGTAAGGTCAATTTGCATCTTTCTCTTTTATTAGTATGGATAGCATCTTAGATTTGATGGTCCTAACATCCAGGAGGGTTCTATGTCCTCGCCCCTACCCACACCACCCACACCCCCCACACCCCCTGACCCATGTACTCAAGCCCCGATCCAGCAGGCAGGCAGTCAGCTCTTGCTAACAGGGGATCCCCCTGCCCAGCCTCCTTCTCAAGGCATCCAGTCCAGGCCCCAGGGCTTCCTCCTCCCCCAGCCACATTTCCCAACCCCAATTAATCACAGGGTGGCCCCAGGGAGGAGGAAGGCGATGACATGGCTAACCATAAAGAAGCAGGGACAGCAGAGCCGGACGCCAGGACCCAGGCACCCAGAGGTCATGAAGCTGGGGTTTGTCTGTGCTCTGCTTTCTCTGCTGGCAGGTGAGGCTCCTGCCATCCACCCTGTCCATCCTGCTGACCCTCCAGGGCCCCGGCAGCCTCTCCAGGTGGCCCTGCACACCCCAGCCTCCTGTGCCTGCCCTCTAGGTGTCTCTGCTTCTTTCCCCAGCCCTTCCATCTTGCTCTTCACTGACTCCCTCTACCTCCCCTCTCCTCCACTTCCTACAGGGAACAGCCGGGCAGACACCAGAGCCATTGGGGCTCAGGAATGCCACCCTAACTCTCAGCCCTGGCAGGCAGGCCTCTTCTATGTCACGGGCAACCCCTACCGCTTACTGTGCGGGGCGACCCTCATCAGTGACCGCTGGCTGCTCACAGCTGCCCACTGCCGAAGGCCGTGAGTGACCACTCTGGGGAGGGCGCCGGGGATCAGAGAATGGGGGTGGGGGTGGGGGCAAGGGCCTCTGGTAGGGGAGGGAGGGAGTGGTGGACAAAGAGGGCTGAGCTTCTATTTCTGCTCCCAGAAGTTGAACTCGGAATGACCAAGAGTCAACTTTTTCCCAATTCTAGTCTCAAATAATCTGGTTCTAAGGGTCAAAGACTGGAAATTTACACTCTTCTTTGAATCTTCGATTCTGGCCCAGGGTAATCCAGAACCTCAGGCTCCTAAAGTCTTGGATCCACGGGGTTCTACAGGAGCCTCAGAGAATTCTAGAATCTCAGAATCCAGAGCAGCACTGCCAAGGAAATCTATCGCTAGCCATTTAAGTTTTACATGTCTAGTAGACACGTTACAAAAAGTAAAAGAAAAACAAGAAGATTTCATTTTGATAATGGATTTACCTATGTACTTATTATTTTACTCAATATTATTTTAACATGTAATCAGTACCAAATATCTACGAACGTCATTGTTTACTGTTTATGGGGTAAGCCTTTGAAAGCGGACGTGCATTTTACACGTATGACACATCTTAATTTGAACTAGTTGTACTGGATAGAGCAACACTAGAATCATATTCAGGCTAATTCATCTACTACAGATGCACAGAGCCCTAGAATACTGTGATTTGTGACATTCCGGAATCTTGAAACAAGGAAATTCTAGGAGGTTATATTCATAAATGTTTTGAATTTGTTGCACTTAATATCCTAGAGTGCAATCATTCCAGATTCTTAAAACCTCCACGCTTTTAATTCAGGGAATTCTAGAGTCTCCGATTATTTGAACCCTGTATTTTTCAATTTCCAAAATCAATAGATTCATAGAATTCTAGAATGATGATATTCTCACCGGATTGTCCCAAAATGTTAACATTCTAGGCTCATTAAATCCTAGGTTTAATTCAGATCATTTTAAAATCCCAGAGTTTTCATCTAGAGAGAAATCTAGAACAGTACAATCTTGGACTCATGACATTCTATCGATAGAACTTGAGCCTCATAGAATTCTAGAATTTGTAGATTCCTAAGGGGTTAGAATCCCAGAGTCCCGGGCATTTTAATAGAATCCCAGAATGGACCTGAGGCAGAAATCCTGTCTGCATCTCTCTGGAAAGGGGCTGCCTACCCTGTTCTTCCCTCCAGGAATGAGGAGCAGGTGCTGCTACAGGATGCTATGTGGGAATTTCCCATCATGCATTGCTCCACGATGGGGCCTCTTTCAGCTCAAGGTCTGTACACCAGGCTAGGAGAGCAAAGTTGAGATTTCAGCCCCAAAGATGAAGAAGGAGAAATGAAGAGATATGGAGGTAGAAGGGATTGAGAGGCAAGGATGAGTTTGGGTGATGGGGGAAAGGCTAATTTCTCAGACACAGAACTCCGGCACAGAGATAGAAATAACTTCACCCTCCTCAAACTTGGAGTTCTCAGACATTAGCCTGGTTTCTCACGTGAGAGGTCAGAGGTTGGGGGTTGGCTATGTAGGCCGCCAGAAGGTCCCCCGTTGTCCAGGACATAAACCCAGAGGAGAAGATGTAAACTAAAACTGCAAGAGAAAACATGGGATCAAACCTCAGAAGGAAATGCATTGAGGGGTTAGCTGTATGGCAGCCAGGAAAAGCCCGAGGCCCCAGATGACCCCAAAGTTGGGGATTTTCCATACCCCACCAACCAGCCACTTCCCACAGAACCACCAGGGGTGGGGCTGTTTTTGTGTGGTAGGTGGAGTCCCTGGGTGCCTACACGGTGCCAGGGAACCCAGATCACCAGCAAGTTGCAGGTGGGGCAATGAAGAAGGTGGCTCCGTTGGCATGGACCTAGGAAATGATGTGAGCTTTTGACGGAGAACTACAACAGCAGAGGCAGACAAAGGGATGGAGTGGGAGATCAGGAGCCCAGAGAGGGCGTGTGCCTTGCCTAAAATCACACAGCACTCTTGGGTTGCACATAGGATGGGGATCCAGAGAGGAAATCTACACCTTGTGGAAAGCCACACAACACCTGAGGTCTGTCCCAGCAGGTATCTGTGGGTCCGCCTCGGGGAGCACCACCTCCAGAAAAGGGAGGGCCCAGAGCAGCTGTTCCTGGTCACGGACTTCTTCCCCCACCCCGAGGATGACATCATGCTGATCCGCCTGCCCAGGAAGGCACGCCTGGGACCTGCCGTGCAGCCCCTCAACATCAGCCAGACCTGCGTCTCCCCGGGCACCCAGTGCCTCATCTCGGGCTGGGGGGCTGTGTCCAGCCCCATAGGTACAGCCTTGGCCACAACACACTCCCTTATGTCTTACGCTGAGGTCTAAATCCCTCCTCCTTCTCTGTCTCTGCCTTTTCATGTCTACCCTCTATCTATTAATCTATCTCTCCACCCTTATATTCCATCAAATCTAAGATGCTACCCACACTAATAAAAGAGAAAGATGCAAATTGACCGTACATCTGCAACACCCACCAGCCAATCAGGAGTGAGTATGCAAATTAACCCAACAAAGATGGTGGGTTAATTTGCATGCACAGGTGCAGAGTGAAGACTGAAGACTAAAGAAGACTGAAGACTGAAGAGACTTGGCTTCCCCACTGCAGCCAGAATGGAGACCTGGGTCCCAGGTGCCAGAGGAAAACCAGTGCCCACAGCCAGGGGAAGGAAGGCCTATTGCACAAATCTTCGTGCAATGGGCCTCTAGTGAATTACAAGGTGCATCGTTACTTCACTGACCCTTATGATATCCCACTTACTGGAAGAGACCTCCTGATTTCAGGGTGTTTAAATGTGAAAGAATACATGTATCTGAGAATCTAGATAAGGCCTTCTATTCTCACAGTCAGAAATCAAGGACCTGTTAGCCACATTTGGCTTCCCACATTAGTGATGGTTTTCCGAGAGTCTTGAAAAATCACATCTGAATTTGTTGCTGCCAGCGTCTGAAACCCAGGAGATGCTACAGAAAAGCCGAGTTTTTGGATTCACTTGGAAAGAACGTGCAATGCTGGACCCACATTTCCCAGAGATTGAGCATTGCTGGAGAGAGAGAGTGGAGGTGGCCCCTGCAGACTGAACCACAATGGTGCCTGGCACCCCACTTCTGTTTACCCACCAAGCCCCTGCATGCATTGAGTTGGCACCCAGGCATTATATATATTGATATGTGTGTGTTTATGTCCACGTCTATCTCTATGTGCCGTAACTCCTTCTCCTACTTCTACCTAGTACCTCTGAATCAGTGGTTCTCAACCTTCCTAATGCCGCAACCCTTTAACACAGTTCCTCACGCTGTGGTGACCCCCAACCATAAAATTATTCTCTTTGCTACTTCATAACTGTAATTTTGCAACTGTTATGAATCATAATGTAAATATCTGTGTTTTCCTATGGTCTTAGGTGACCCCTGTGAAAGGATCGTTTCACCTCCAAAGGGATCTCGACCCATAGGTTGAGAACCGCTGCTCTAAATCTTTCTCTCTCTCTGTACTAATGACCCTCTCCCTATAAGTGTCTCCTCCCCCCCCCCTTTTTTTAAAAAAAATATATTTTATTGATTTTATACAGAAAGGAAGGGAGAGAGATAGAGAGTCAGAAACAACGATGAGAGAGAGTCATCGATCAGCTGCCTCTTGCACACCCCCTACCGGGGATATGCCCGCAACCAAGGTACATGCCCTTGACCGGAATCGAACCCGGGACCTTTCAGTCCCCAAGCCGACGCTCTGTCCATTGAGCCAAACCGGTCCCGGGGTCTCCTTCCCTTTAATTCGGGGCCTTCTCACTGAGTATCCCTGGACCCATTTCTGTTTCTGCATGGCCTCCTTTGAGAATTTTAAAAAATATATATTTTATTGATTTTTTTTTTTTTTTTTTACAGAGAGGAAGAGAGAGGGATAGAGAGTTAGAAACATCGATGAGAGAGAAACATCCATCAGCTGCCTCCTGCACACCCCCCACTGGGGATGTGGCCACAACCAAGGTACATGCCCTTGACCGGAATCGAACCTTGGACCCTTGAGTCGCCAGATCAACGCTCTATCCACGGAGCCAAACCAGTTAGTCTGAGAATCCCCCCCCCCCCTTAAAAGGTCTCTAGCTCCTGCCAAGGTCTCTGTTTTTCTCTGTGTAAAATATATACGCGTCTCTTCTTGTCTCTTACCTCTCTGTGTGCTTCTCTCTCCCTCTTCAGAAATGTCTGTTTCTCTTTCAGGCTACGATTCTCTTTGTCGCTGTCTCTCCTTTCTTGGAGAAGCAGATGCTGTGGCTCCATGGATCCTCCTTAAGAAAAGGGTTGTATGTGCAGCCCTAGCCAGTTTGGATAGAGCCTCAGCCTGCAGACTGAAAGGTCCTGGGCTCCATTCTGGTCAAGGGCCCATGCCCAGATTGCAGCTCAATTCCAGTAGGGGGCGTGCAGGAGACAGCTGCTCAGTGATTCTCTCTCTTCATTGATGTCTCTCTCTCTTTCTCTCCCTCTCCCTTCCTTCTGAAATCAAATTTTTTTAAAATTTCTTTTTAGAAGAAAGGGGTTGTGTGCTGAGTGAGATGAGTATAGTTGCTGACCCTCTGTGACCTCCTTCCCCAACAGTGCATTTCCCAGTCACGCTGCAGTGTGCCAACATCAGCATCCTGGAGCCCAGACTCTGCCGGTGGGCATACCCAGACCACGTCTTCAAGCGCATTCTCTGTGCTGGCCTGTGGGAGGGGGGCCGCGGCTCCTGCCTGGTGAGGTCTACTCTGGGGAGGAGGTGGAGGTTGGGGATTCTGCTAAGACACTGGGTCCTGGGAGAGGATGGTGGGGCCAGCACCAGGATTTCTGGATCTAAACAAGGAGATGGGTTAGGGGTCTGAGCTCCAAGTCCTGGGGGAAGAGGATACTAAGGCCCCAGAATGCTAGGTCCAAGGGAGGGGTGAAGGCTGCGAGCTTTTCCTCCTGGGTCTGAGGGAGGAGGGCCTGGTGAGCTGGATGTCTGGGTGTCAAGGAGCAGAAACTGGGGGGTCTGTGCAATGGCATGCTAGTGATAAGTCTGGCCTAATAGTTCCTCTCTTTTCTCCCACCCTCAGGGCGACTCTGGGGGCCCGCTGGTTTGCAACGGGACTCTGGCTGGTGTGGTGTCTGGGGGCTCTGGGCTCTGCTCCCGACCACAGCATCCCGCTGTCTACAGTAGCGTTTGCCACTACGTGAAGTGGATCAGAAAGACAATGAAAAAACACTGAGCCCTGAGGGAAGGGGGATTGGAATGGGGGGTTGAGGACAAATATGTGATACCTTAATCAATAAAGAAATTAAAATAAAAAAAATAAGAATAAGGGTCATGCCTATGATGACCAGAGGTGGAGGGGGGTGCAGGATAAGGGGGTGTAGGATAAAGGGGTCCCAGCCTCAGGGGTCTCCTCCAGTGCCCTCAGCTGTCCTGGAGAAGCCTTCTGGTTCCTTAGGCTCCGCCCCCTCGGGAATGGATCTGAAAGACACTTCTATCCTGGGTGCAGGCTCTAAGAAGTCAGCAAAGAATGGCACCACCCTGGGGAACAGCATCACCTGGTGGCTCCGCCCCAGGCTGGCCACCCACCAAATAGCCCCGCCCCCTCAGAACATTGCCCAAGGAGAGACCTCCGCTGGACTCCAGCCCGTGTGGCCACGCCTCTTTCATCATCACCATGATGTCAGGAGGGCTATAGCTTTCCCCCATTGGCTCGTTGGCTCCAGCAGGGAGGGTCTGGCCCTGCCCCTCACAGCCCTGGTTTTAGGCGTGTCCTGGGTTTGCATCCTGCCCTGGACCATCTGGGAGGAGTTGAGGGGGAGAGTCTGGATGTCTTCAGATCCCGTGGATGGCTTTGCAATAAAGGCATGGAGCCCTCTCTGCTTTCTACCTGGGTCGTGGGACTGAGGAAGGGCAAGGAGAGGGTGTTGGAGGGACCATACAGAGGAAGCCAATGGGGGAGGGAGAAAGATGGGGAATATCCGTCCTACTATTAGTAAGAATCTTATATAATAAAGCCTAATATACTAAGTTTCCAACTGTTCCACCGTTGGACCAATCGCTATGACATGCACTGACCACCAGGGGAAGACGCTCAGATGGGTATCTGGGGTCCAGCTGATGGGGATGGGCAAGATAGGCCGGACACACCCTGGAGCCTTCCCAGAGTGCCTCCCTGGCCCCCATCCTGCACCTCTAGTATTAAATTAATTTCCCCTGAGCCCTGAGATCTTTCCCCATCAGCCCTGTTGCAGCAAGCCTCCCGGGTTCTGTCAGGCTGGTCCCGTCACCCCCAGGGGAAGGGGAAGCCAGGTCACGGTGCCTCCCAAACCTGCCTGCCCAGGCCAGACCTCTCAGAGCATGGCGGGCAGGGCTGATCCACCCTCAGGTTCCTGACCAAGGAGACTTGTACTTCTTCTATTTGGGGTTATTCCAGGCAGCAGCCCCCCTGTCCTCCCCCAGTCCCAAAGTCCAGGCCCCAAGCCCTCTCATCCTTGTATGCAGGAGTTCCGACATCCTCCCCCTCCTCATTCAGACCCAGGAGTCTAGGCTCCCAGCCCTGGCCTCTTCCAGACACAGACATCTGAGCCCCCAGTCCTTTCTGTGTCAGACCCAGTAGTCACAGCTCTGAGCTCCTCTCCCTTGCCTCTGGACCCCAAGAATCCAGCCCCTCCTCTCCCAACCCCTCAGCCCGTCCTCATAGCAGCCCAGGGGTGCTCCGCCAGCCCAGGGCGGGAGAAGGCGGAGCAGGAGGCGGGGATTCCCAGTTAAAAGGCTCCAGATCCCTGAAGCAGGCAGAGAGCTGAGTTCCTGGGGCCTCCTCTGCCTCTGGGTCAGAATCAGTAGGTGATCCCGCCCCCCTGGCCTCTGGACTTCAGGCCCAGGACTTGAGCCTGAGATCCTGTTTGCCTTCTGACCCGACCTGGGAATCTGAGCCCCAGGCTCTGCTTCCCTGAGATTCAGGATGCATCTGGGATACTAGCTCCCTTCTCCTTGGTCACTTAAAAATCCCAGACACCCTCCCCTCCTCTCTCCTCAGATTCAGGAATCTGCCTCCCCCCCTCCCTTCTAACTCAGCCCCTTCAGAAAAGGCTCTGTTCCTCTCCCCTCCCAATCCCAAGACCCTACTAGGATTTCAGGCTCCTATGCTCTCTCTCTCCCAGGCCTCAGCATAGGACACCCACCCACCGCACACCTCCTGCTGCTGCCATGGGCTCCTGGATGTTCCCACTCTCGCTGCTGGAAGTCTGTGCAGGTGAGGAGGGCCCGAGGGCACCGGTGGTCTGTGTGAGCCTTTGTGGGGTTTCCTGCCCGTCTCCTCCCTCATCCACTCCCGGGGGTGGCGATCCACCCCTCTCCCTCCTGCTGTCAGGCACTGGTGGGCTCAGAAGACCAAGGTGCTGGGGCCCAGAGTTTAAGGCCCATTTGTACTTTGGAAGGCAGCTTGGCTCCAGGCATTCAGCTGTTGTGTCCTGGTGTCTTCATAGATGTCACAACGGGGTCCTCAAAGATACTCACTGTAAAAAAAAAAAAAAAAAAAAAAAAATTGTGAGCGGCCCTGGTTGGTGTGGCTCGGATGGTTGAGCATGGGGCCATGCACCAAAAAGTCAACAGTTCAAATCCCTTCAGGATGCAGGTCCAGGTTCTGGGCTGCATCCCCAGTAGGGGGCGAGCAGGAGGCAACTGATGGATGTTTCTCTCTTTCTCCCTCGCCTTGTTTTTTCTCTAAAATAAACAAAAAACATGTGTTCAAAAACCACGAATGGCCCTAACCGGTTTGGCTCAGTGGATAGAGCGTCGGCCTGCGGACTGAAAGGTCCCAGGTTCAGTTCTGGTCAAGGGTATGTACCTTGGTGGCAGGCACATCCCCATTAGGAAGTGTGCAGGAGACAACTGATGGATGTTTCTCTCTCTTCGTTGTATCTAACTCTCTCTCCCTCTCCCTTTCTCTCTGTAAAAAAATCAATAAAATATATTAAAAACCCAAATGGATGCTTGGCCTGAGGTGGGTTAGGCCTGAGGAAAGAGTGGAATGGACTTTCCCATCAGGGAAGAGAAACTGGGGACTGAGTCTTTAACAGAGGACGTTTGAGAAAAGAGAGAGCTGGAGGCCTGGGTCTGAGAAGCTGAGGGGCCCCAACTCCTGGGCCTGAGGGAGGAGAGGCTGGGGACCTGGACTCCTGGGTCTGAGGGAGGAGGGGCTGGGGGCCTGGACCCCTGGGTCTGAGGGAGGAGGGGCTGGGCCAGGGGCCTGGGTCTGAGGGAGGAGGGGCTGGGGGCCTGGACTCCTGGGTCTGAGGAAGGAGGGCTGGGGACCTGGACCCCTGGGTCTGAGGGAGGAGGGGCTCGGGTCTGGACTCCTAGGTCTGAGGGAGGAGGGGCTCGGGTCGGGTCTCCTGGGTCTGAGGGAGGAGGGGCTTGGACTCCTGGGTCTGAGGGAGGAGGGCTGGGGGCCTGGACCCCTGGGTCTGAGGGAGGAGGGGCTGGGGTCCTGGACCCCTGGGTCTGACGGAGTAGGGGTTGGACCCCTGGGTCTGAGGGAGGAGGGGCTCGGGTCTGGACTCCTGGGTCTGAGGGAGGAGGGGCTCGGGTCTGGACCCCTGGGTCTGAGGGAGGAGGGGCTCGGGTCTGGACTCCTGGGTCTGAGGGAGGAGGGGCTCGGGTCTGGTCTCCTGGGTCTGAGGGAGGAGGGCTGGGGGTCTGGACCCCTGGGTCTGAGGGAGGAGGGCTGGGGGCTGGGGCCTGGGATGGGAACAGGCTGGGTGTGTGGACTCCGGGCCCCGGAGCACTGGGCTGGACCCAGGAGAACCGGTGTTCTCTCCCATCAGTGAGGTACAACAAGGGCCTGAGCTACTCCGGGGTCACCATCCTGAGCCCCCAGGAGTGTGAGGTCTTTTACCCGGGCGTGGTCACCAGCAACATGATGTGCGCGGGCCTGGACCAAGGCCAGGACCCCTGCCAGGTAGGGCTGGGCGGGGAGGGCCTGGACCCGAGTCTGAGGGAGGAGGAGCTGGAGTCCTGGCTCCTGGGTCTGAGGGGGAAGTGAACAGAGGGAGGTGATGGGGGAGCAGAGGGTCTGCCCTCATCCCCAAACCCTCCAGCCCCCCCATCAGCCATCACCCCCACGCTCAACACGCCCCACCCCCACCTCAGCCTCATCCCTGTCAACAAAACTTGGCCCAAACCTATACGCAAATGTTATGGGTTTATCGGAGCCATAACTTTGAGGACGTGTCAGGAAGCGAGACCGCCACGGATTGAGGAAAAAGCAAAAAACAACAAAGAAACTGTCTGCCTTTGTAGTGATGATATCTAGTTTCCAATAAGCTTATCTTAATAATCTGTTAACCGGTGAACTGCCACGCATGCAACACGGAAACCATCCCCACATGCCACGGTATTTTGAATTTAATTTTAAAAAGTCAATTTGCAACGAATATTTTAAAAATAAATATATTACTCACAAATACGGGTGTTTTTTTCATATTTTTTTTCCGCTGGAAATTCTCATGGGGGAAAAAAATGGTTTTAAAGCATTTACAGATGCTTGAGGTGTACAAAGGGTTAAAATACAAACTCTGAGAAATGAAACTTATCTAAGCCAATCAGTTTAACTCAAGTCACCTGTGGTTTACTGAATGGGTAAATTTTCCGTCTCCATTAAAATAGCTTTCTGAAGTCCTCCCGTTTTGGCTCAGTGGTTGAGCATCGACCTAGGAACTAGGAGGTCAAGGGTCAATTCCTGGGGTCAGGGTACTTGCCCGGGGTGGCGGACTCGATCCTCAGTGCAAGGCGTGCAGGAGGCAGTTGATCAGTGATCCTCTCTCATCATTGATGTTTCTCTCCCTTTTGCCTCGGAAGTCAATAAAAACGTTTTCCCAAAGTCTCTTGAAAGGCCCATAAGTTTGCTAAGAAATCACGAAATATGTTTACCAGCCTTAGGACTTACTGGTGACTCACCTTTACTAGTAGTTTTCCTCCCTCCTCGCTCTACGGAAGCCCTGGCCGGACATTCTCCAGGACGGGTTTAAGGGAGACGGGACTTTGGATATCACTCCTTACCCCCCGAGCAAGTCGTAGAAGGCTCTGATGCTATCCCAAGTCTTCCCGTGAGCACTTGGTGAATCCTGTTAGATTCTTTCTTTCCCCAACTGATGGATGGAGTATGACGTAACCTGCACTTGCAGCCTGGACATTCCTGAGCACCTAACCAGGCACTTTACATAAACTATACAT